CCCCCCCCCCCCCCCCCCCCCGGCAAACAAACTGCCGGTGCAAACAGCACACGGCTGTGTCTCTGTCCCGCCCCAAGATGGTTGTTGTCCTTCTACTTACAGTTTACAGCCCTCTGAGGATCTGACCTTTTCAGCACAACATGATTTCAGCCCTTCAGTTTTTAACTCTTTACTGTTACATACTCCATTGTGTTAATCAAATAGAAATCTTTATGTTCAGAAATGTGGAGTTATAAATTATTTTACACTAAATGTGATCAGACTCTATCAAAGCATTCCAGAGGTAAAGAAATGAGAATAGGAAGGAGAGAGAGGAAGAGGAAAGTGGTGGTCTCACCTCGTTGTGGGGCAACCCAGCAGCAGAAAAAATGGGGATCTTCTGTCCTCTGGCGATGCTGTTCATTCCATCGATGGCCGAGATGCCAGTCTGAATCATCTCCTCGGGGTAGATACGGCACTGAGGATTGATAGGCTGACCTGGATTTAACCGAAACAGACGTCTTCATTACTCACAGTAAACTCACTGTTTGACTATAGTTTCTTTTGTTTGTGTTTTTATGACTGTTCAGGGTTTACATTTGAGTAAATATTGCACTAACTCTAAAATATTTTCTAGCATTCTCTCCTCATAATCTTATGAGCTACAGTAATTTAATAAATGTTCAAGGACTACGGCTCACATTAGTCACATGACTGACAGGAATGCCGTGGTTATAATGCTTACAGACAAACAAACAAATCAGCGGTGCTGCAAATATACTGTAAGCATTATATTATTGACAAACAACTAATCCAGCTCCAAGATGCACAGTCTGGGTCATTCTGCATCTCTGAACACACACAGCAAACAGATGTCAAACGACTCACGTTTCCCCACCACCCAACAGTTCCCGGTCTTTCTTACACACAGACATGATGATTTTCTGATTTTTGATTCTGTTCTGGCCTCATCAGTCGACAGAAAGGAAGGAAGAAGCATGAATCTCAGTTTTACTCAACACCCAGGGAGTGACGGACTGGTTCAGGAACGTGCACAATTTGAAAATATTAAATGAAAATAAAAAATATATAATTTAAAACTGGACTTAAAAAAAAAAAAGTTCCCACTTTCTGCTTTTGCTGAATTCATGAGTAAAGTTGACCAAGTAGACCTATTTAACTAATCTAGGTTATTACCCATGTCCTAATGTCGGCTTAAGACCCTCATGGCCCCTCTGCACTGTTGCACAAGGGCTCCAAGGCACTGACAGTCAGAGACCTCATTTCAATTACAGGAACGTATGTAATCTGAAAATGTGACAATGGACACTCTGTCCCATCCCCTTCATGACACCCTATAAAAGCAGCAAAGTTCCTTTTCAAATAGACTTAATCAGCAACACTGGCACAGAAACGCAATAGAAAGCAATTCCTGAAATTTACAATTTAGGTTTAAAACAGCTTCAAAACATCTGATGACCACCAGTACACATATATCGGATCAAAACTACTGTACAAATATTATTTACTGTGTACGTGGCTGTCATTGCACAGGGCTGCTGTACATATGTAAATAATCATTACAATTACTTCTGACTTAATTTATTCAACAGTTTGTTTTCCGATTGTTAAAATGAGTATTGTTTTTGATGCTTTTAATTCTGAACTTCTTTGCTGCTGTGACGATCTACAGAGTCAATAGTTTTCTATTCTGTTGTATTTTGGTAGGTCTGGGCTCGGCTGATGCATTTTCTAGTAAAGTTTTGGGGGAGAAAATCTCCCTGAACCAATTTATTTACAGTCATGGCAAACACAACGTATGGACTGATTAGAACAATACAAATTTCACATAAAAAATATAGGAAGATGAGATTTTTTTTACATTTTTTTTTTTAGTATTTTATATCACTTTATAATGTAGCTGTTTTTTTTTTTGTTTTTTTTTTTTATATATCATTTATTCCATTTATTTTTCAATTTATAAACTTTTATGGTTGTCTACTGTTGTCATCATTGTTTGTTAAAATCAGGTCTCGATGAGACTAACCTGTCTAAATAAAGGTTGAACTGAATAACCAGGGCTGTAAAACTTTTCACATTCACTGATAATATAAAAAACATTTTATAATTTCTCTGCATTAAGATTTTCCTAAAACTGTTGAGAGTTTCAGTGAATAAATGCATGTACTATCTTTCTCACACTGAAAGTTTAAATGTATGTTCATGGTAAGTGAAGGGGTTAAGAAACATCCTAAAAAACAAGAGAAAGACATAAAGCTAAAGAGGTTTTACCCATAATGTCCAAGTAGTCCTCAGCCAGAACGCTGGGGCCACGATCAATGGGTTTGCCGGAACCGTTGAACACCCGCCCTGAAAGAAAACAATTCCTCTTTGAGCCAAGTCTTCATTTGGATAAATGGCTGATTTATGGGGCAGATGAATTCAAAGATATTTATAAAAATATCAATAAAATTAAATGTATTAAATTACACTCCCCAGCACATCTGATCTGTTTGTCAAACTCCTAACAGATACTGTAAGTGCAGCTCTGATGGCTCTTGTCGAAGCTACAAGCAGCTAGTACAAATAATTATAAATTCAGGGACACGATTAATGACACTTCAAAAACAAAAGCAGGTTTACTTTCCGCTAGTACTCAAATGTATTTAACCTTGTGCAGCACTGAGATAATCACAGTGATTGAGACATTCAAGAACATTCAAATAAAAGCTTTGATTTGGTTTGTTTTTTCCTTAATGGTTTACAGAGGATTATGAAAATAGGAGAAAATTAGCACAGAGAAGGCCAAAACCCATTTAGCTCTCAGACATTCATGTTTATCTCAAAAAACAAGGAGAGCTGTACGGCAGTAAATTAAGTCTGAATTGTGTAGAAAGTTGTTTCAAAGAGACTGTTTAGTGTGATGATTTAATGATAACTGCCACAGTCATACCCAACATGTCCTCTGACACCGGGGTTCGCAGGATATCTCCAGTGAACTCGCAGGCCGTCTTTTTGGCGTCAATGCCTGATGTTCCCTCAAACACCTGAAGTAACAGAAGCAACAAGCAAAATCAATTAAAATCATGGTGGAAAATTCTCCACTGAGACATGGAAAAATAAAAGTCCACTCTGTTTCAGTTCTGGGATTTGGAACATAAAAATGATCAGCTCCATATCTGGTTATACAATTATTTAAATCTTACCTCAGGTGCATAAAAAATACACACACAACAGAGTTTACCATGTTGTTATTTGTTAAACAAAAATGGATCTAATGAAAAAGCTGTGTGTGAAAAACCAAGTCCACCCAGCTTGTAAAACCACCTTTACCAACAATCATTTTAAGCAAAACACCCAAACAGGACTCCAGTCAGCCATCAGGTGAAAAGGAGGAACCCAGACCCAGACCAGTGGTCATTCCGTATGTTGAGAGAGTATCAGAGAAACTGAGACGTTTATTTTCTAAACATAACGTCCCAGTGGCTTTTAAACCCCAAAATACATTACGGCAAAGACTGGTTCATCCCAAAGATCCAGTCCCCCGGCACAAACAGAGTAACATTGTGTATGCTGTTCAGTGTCAGGAGGGCTGTGATCAGTCTTACATCGGGGAAACTAAACAGCCACTGGCCAAAAGGATGGACCAGCACAGAAGACCAACATCATCAGGCCAGGACTCTGAGGTCTACATTCATCTCCAGGCCAGCGGTCACTCTTTCAGGGATGAAGATGTTCACATCATGGACAGAGAGGAACGATGGTTTGAGAGAGGAGTAAAGGAGGCCATCTTTGTGAAAAGAAATTGTCCATCATTAAACAGGATGGAGGCCTCCGGGTTCAACTGTCCCCCTCTTACAATGCTGTTATTGCTAGTATCACTCAGTTCCCTGTGAATAGTAAGTAGCCATCAGGGCACTAATGACTAGCTGTTAGGCTGATGGTCCTCCTTGATCATGTGAACAACTAGTTTTGTCTGTCAGCAGCAAACTGGTTCATCCACTATGAGAAGGTCTTGCTTTTGAGACTGTTGCAGCTCCTCAGACTGAAGAAGTCTCTTGGACAAAAGACGAAACATTTCAACAAAGAAGAATCCTTCTAGAGGACCTGACTCAGCCTTGTTAGGTTTATCTACCTGGATTATCGAGCATGCATCAGGAAATTTTAAGCGTCTTCCCCCCCCAGTATGTAGAGTATCCAGTATATACATATATATATATATATTTTTTTTTTTTTTTTGCTGTGGAGGAATTTTGGTCCAATTTTTTTTTTTACTTCTTCAATTTATTGACATTTCTTTTGTGACCCTTTTGGATCCAAGTTTCAGCTGTCAAGGCATGGTCTCACATTTAACTATAGAATCCTTGTGATCTACATACAATAGTACTTTGTAGTCGACTCAATGTACTCAAGATCTGTGGCTGTAAACCAAGATGAATTAATCACCACTCTACCATTAGACTTGGCAGGTGGTATGAGGTTTTAGTACAGATAGGCAGTTTGATTTTTCACAAATGCTATTAATAACAGCAAGACATCTCTTCTTTGGTCCAAACAAAGGGCATTGTTCCATAAGTCCTATGGTTCAATCACATGCAGCTTTACAACCTAAGATGTTCTGCCACATTATTTTTAGAGAGAAGGCAACCCTTCCAAACAAGTCATACATGCTCAGTCTTTTTACAAATGTACCATCATGAACTTTAACATTACACCTGCTAACTGAGGCCCTCAAAGAAATGAAGCTCTTGGAGTTTTTGCAAGTTCTCTGAGCGTTGCACTGTCTGACCTTGGGGTGAATTTGCTGGGACGTCAACTTTTGGGAAGAATGGAAACTATCTTAAATGGTAATTGTCCACTTGTAAAAATTCTTCTATCTGTAAAATGATAGACTCAGGATTGTTTGAAAATTATAATTTATTAAGGCTCCTGTCTTTATACCATTAAATTCGATTTCTTACCTGGACGACTGCCTTGCTGCCAATCACTTCTAAAACCTGCCCGCTCCTCTTGGTGCCATCTGGCAAGGTCAGATGAACAATCTCAGCATATCTAGGGAACTGATTAAAGTAAGACATCTTTTAAAAAAGTACTGAAAAAAACAACTTACAGGTCACTAGTACAAGAGAAAGTGCTGGTAAGAACTAAAAACAGTTGGATGATTAATAAACAAAAATCTAAAGTTTTGGTAGTAGCACTGAGACACCATTTTTGCTCATGAAATCCAACAATGTAGGGATGCAAGATATTAGCGGCATGGTTTCGGTATCGACCGATATTAGCGTTAAAGTTCAATATCAGACATCGGCTATTCCATCAAATAACACAGATATAAAAGACAATGTTTTTGTATGACAGCCCAGTGACAAGGATGCCTGCAGTGGTAGCACAACGCGAAGAGGTCACGTGCGCCTACCTCATCTCACGGCAGAGAGGAAAATTCAAAATGTCAGCGGTGTGGAAGGTTTTTTTTGTTGGTGAGGATGTTGGCTTCTGAAGATTTATGGACTATGTTGAGCCTCGCTACATCGTCCCCTGTCGGAGATATTTTTCTGACATAACCTTACCAGAGTTACAAGCTGTCGTTTCCAACGTCACTGAGAAGCGAATAGCTGATAGCACTTGGGTGAGTTTTACCACAGATATTTGGACGTCGTGTTAGCCCCGTTAGCATGATTAGTCTTACGGCACAATGGACAGACAAAAATTTTGAACTTAAAAAGGCTGTCCTTCATGCACAGGAGTGCAGAGGATCCCACACTGCAGCTAGGAACCTGGAACAAGCCTCCACAAGTGAGACAGCATCACAGGTGACTAATGCTAATAAATAACATTTAACACTTTTCATTTAATATAAGTCAAAGTGCTATGAATATCATATGGCTGTTATTGAATATATGTTACAAGCTCTTACAGCTGTTACACAATTTTTGTAGCAAATAAGCCTAAATAAGAGGCTATGTTCTGACAAAGGAACGTATATAAAATATTGTATCAGTTATCGTCCAAATAAGTTTTATCGTCATATCGGATATTGGCCAAATATCCAATATCGTGCATCCCTACAACAATGGAACATTTTTATGGTCTTACCTTAACATTATCCAGGATTACCAGAGGTCCGTTTACACCCGACACAGTGGAGTACGCTGAAACAAAGAAGTAATTATTAATTTGCAAGTTCAGACAGTTACTAACACAGTGCTGACAAGATCCTATAGTTGTGCAGCTGAACTTCTATCAACTTTGGATAGTGCAGATTTTCCTAAATCAAAGACTAAACACAACCATAAGTTGACCTTTTCACGGTAATATAAGAAAAAAAAAACTCTGTGCGTTTTCAGGCTCACATGTTAATGTCAGACAAAAGTCAAGAAAAAATAAAACACAGAAATGTCTCTTGCTGATGTAATTATACAGCCATGAAGTCATTTCTGAACAAAAATACTGAACATTACTGAAGGGTGGGGAATTATAGAGGAGTTGGCATTACACTAACTGAATGAACTATAAGCACGTTAATTTGATCAACAAGGAATACAAGTGTTGAAGAAAATGCACAGATGAAATGGGTCACTGAAAACAAAGCACTACCTTCACTACCTTCCTTTTCTAACCATTAATGAGATCGAACGGCTTGTTACTTCTTCAGTTGTTGTAAAAGTCACCCGAGATCAAACATTAGGATCATTTCCTGTCAGACGTATAGCAATGTAGTGTTAAGCTTCCTTCCTTGGATGGAGAACTTTTACTAATTGGCTGGTTTATGTATGTGAATGTTTCTGTCCAGTGCCCTGAGACAACTTTGTTGTGATTTGGCACTAAATAAATCAACTGAATTGAAATTATACTGCCAAACTTTTCTTTTAAACAGACAAAATAAAAAAATACTAAAAATACTTAAACCCGGTAGTCACAACACAAAACTTGTCTAAGAAATCTAAGATTTTTCTTATGGTTCATCACAAAAAAGCATGCTATTTGATGGTACGTTAATGGTTCATCAATTCAATAGATAAACTACCAAAAAAGGTTAATTCAATTTACAATAAAGGTTCATTCAATTTACAATAAGTGATTTCATGAACCGATACTAAAAAAATCTACAACTGAGTGGAGTCAAGCAACACTACATCATTTCCTTCTCTTTTACCTGACGATGCCCCTTTGGGGTGGAAAAACTGATGGTGACAAACTGGGGAGTGTTGGGCAAAAGATTTGTATCACATTTTGCACGGCACTAATAATATTGTACATACTTATGGGCCAATTAGAATTTTTGTTCACTTCTTTAAACAGATGGGGAGAATAAAAAATAAAATATAAAAAACATTTCTGACTTTAGTCCAGTTGCAGAGAGGGATTAAATTGTAAATTGTGGTTTTTTTGTTTTTTTGTTTGGACCTTCTTGGCCCTCCACCGAGAAGGTGTACAGTATCACCTCCTGGCCTCCCTGTGTATCCTTGTGAGTTTTTTCTGGGTACTCCAGTTTCCTCTCACAGACGAAAAACATGCATGTTAGGCTGACTGGTAACTTTAAATTGTTCCTAGGTGTGAGTGAAAGAGTGAATGGTTGTCTCGTTTGTCTCTATGTGGCCCTGTGATGGACTTGTAACCTGGTGTCCCCCACCTCTCACACAAAGACCGTCAGAGATAGGCACCAGATGCCCATGATCCAGAAAAGAGAAGCTGGGAATAATGGATTGATGGTAAATTAATGCGGGCAGCACAGTGACGCAACTGGTAGAGCTACTGCCTCTCAGTGAGCAGGTCCTTGGTTCAAACCCCGGTCCAGGGGCCTTTCTGGGTGGAGTTTGCATGTTCTCTCCGTGCATGCGTGGGTTTTGTCCGGGTACTCCGGTTTCCTCCCACAGACCAAAAACATGCATGTTAGGCTGATTGGTAACTAAATTGTCCCTAGGTGTGAGTGAGAGACTGAATGGTTGTTTGTCTCGTTTGTCTCTATGTGTCCCTGTGATGGACTTGCGACCCATCCAGTGTGTACCCCGCCCCTCGCACAGTGATTGCTGGACATGGGCACCGGCGACCCCCGTGACCCAAAAATGGAAGAAGCGGGTAAAAAAATAATGGATGGATGGTAAATTAATGCATTTTGAATGGTAAACAAAAACAGCCAAGAGGCAGTTCAGACACAAAAAGCCGGACTGTGGACTGTGCTGTGCTAGGACCTTCCTTCAAACTCAGTGCCTCCACTGGACTCCCTCACCTCCCCTGGCGCAGCAACCTAGGAGATACAAGACGCCAAGGGCTGCGTCACTCACCTGACAGCCGTGCTGGGACACGCACCCCCTTCCCTCTCCACATGCATGTTTTATGTCTATTTATCTTTATTTATATTTAGATTTATCTATCTTAAGTTTTAACAATGAGAAGACTGAAGTCATTGTCTTTAGCCCTAGCTCAACTGCCGCCACTGATCCCGTCAACCTGGACTCCCTTCAGCCATATCTGAAGCAGTCTGGTAAAAATCTCAGGATGGTTTTAGACTCTGACTTCAAGTTTGACAAAAAAAATCAACTCTGTTCTGCAGAAAAGCTCCTTACAGCTAAGCCAGGTAGCTAAGCTCAAGCCAGTATTGTCCAGACCCGACCTTGAGAAACTAGTCCATGCCTTTATCATGACCCGATTAGACTATTGGAATGCACTGTATGCTGGGGTCAGCCAGGCCCCCATCTCATGTCTTCAGCTTGTCCAGAATGCTGCTGCTCGGCTTTTAACCAAAACTCGTAGGTCTGAACATATTACTCCAGTTCTGTCCTCCCTTCACTGGCTCCCTGTTCGTACGAGGATAGTCTTTAAAATTCTTCTGTTGACCTTCAAATGCTTAAATGGCCTCGCACCCCTTTACCTCTCTGAGCTTCTGGAAACTTATGTTCCCTCTCGGGCCCTGAGATCATCCGATCAGCTGCTTTTGGCTGTTCCAAAAATAAGACTGAAGCTCAAAGGAGATCGGGCTTTTTCAGTCATGGGCCCCAAACTCTGGAACAAAAACCAGATCATCATCTGCAGAAAGACATACCATAGCCAAATGTCTTGTGTAAAGTGACTTTACTTGAGAACAGGATAAACAAAAAAAACCAACAACATTATTTTACACGGGCAGCACGGTGGCGCAACTGGTAGAGCTGCTGCCTCTCAGCGAGCAGGTCCTTGGTTCAAACCCCGGTCCAGGGGCCTTTCTGGGTGGAGTTTGCATGTTCTCTCCATGCATGCATGGGTTTTTCCGGGTGCTCCGGTTTCCTCCCACAGACCAAAAACATGCATGTTAGGCTGATTGGTAACTCTAAATTGTCCCTAGGTGTGAGTGAGAGAGTGAATGGTTGTTTGTCTCGTTTGTCTCTATGTGTCCCTTTGATGGACTTGCGACTCGTCCAGGGTGTACCCCGCCCCTCACACAGTGATTGCTGGACATGGGCACCAGCGACCCCTGTGACCCAAAATGGAATAAGCGGGTAAAGATAATGGATGGATGGATTATTTTACACACTGGAACTTGAGATTGGAGCTGTGCTCAACCTGGAAATGATGGTACTTCTAAAAATTTTTAGTAGTTAAGGTTGCAATATCAGATTTACCAGACAACAATATAATATATTACATAGACATAAGGTATTTTTTTATAAGCACCTGATGTTTGAGAGTTTTTTTTAGGTCAACAGTACAAGTATATGACTAATCTCTTATTGTGAAGGTCTTAAGAACATTCTGTGAGTTTCATTGTTGTGAGAATACCAATGTTTGCTTTGCTTATTGACCTTTTTCCTCACATTTTACTCTATTCTCAACATTTTTACTTCATACTCAAAACTCAGAAATGGACAACAAAACAAACTTGATTCTCTGTATGTTTTTCTCTGGGTGGCTCTGGTAAAAATTATCTAAACTTTTTCTTTTTAAATATCTCAGTGATGTGTTTGATGTGATCAGGATCATTTGTTATTAATGTGTATTAGATTTAAGTTTGTTTTTATACAATTCAGAAGAGTTGGTCAATGTTCACGACACTGAAACTTCATAACCAAGATTTCATCCCCTTCAATGTTTTTTTTTTTTTCCACAACCAGCTTGCAAATTTTTTGAACAGTTTCAAAAAACTAGTGCACAATTTGCTCTTATAATAGTGACAGTTGTGGCTGGCATCTCCTCCCCATCACTAGAGGTATATTGTAACATGCTCACATCTAGAAACCACCCCAATAATGAATAATACAAAAAAGAAAAAGGCCAAAATCTCATTTAATTTCTTCATTTCAAAAGTATAATCTAGAAGATTAAATTGTGAACAAAGTGGGTGGTTGTCAAGGTGGGTACAAAGCTGGCTGAGGCGGGTACAATATGGGCAGAATTGGACAAAAAAATGTGCACGGGGTAAAAAATACAGTTTTGCGAGCACAGCTCACAAAAAAATATTATTTTAAAAAACTGGGTATTCTAAACATGGTCTTATAGTCTGCTGATTGTTGGGTCAAAAACAGAAAAACAAACCCTCCCGCAAAAAACAAACAAACATTTTTTTCAATATTTCATCCCAGTGAGATACTACTTTTTGTTAAAGAGAATAAATTATTTTCTTTGAATTTGTGTCTATTTAGAAAACAAATAATTCAATATTACAAACTATTTCATTTGTTTTATTATATGATGTTTGAACCAATTTTATTTATTTATTTATTTTTTTTTGAGTGTGTGAATTTTATATTTTGCGTGTTTTGGGATGTAACACTGTACTTTGTAAATGTACTATGGATAACCTAAATGGTGATATTTGCATTTGCCTCAACCATCTTGGAATGTTCTATATAAGTGCAGGCCCTGACATAGAGCTTTCCCAGTACAGTTGGGTTTGAAAAGAAATGGGCGGGGGAAAAAAGAAAAGTTCAAGTTACCCTCTTATGTGAAATCTAATGATTAAGTACATGGTTTACTCTCTAATTTCTCAAAGTAACAAGTACTCAATGGGCTATATGTTCATGAGGTGTTAAGGAGCAACATTTCCCATTAGGTTTGGAAAACTTTCTCCACCCCTCTTTGGCTACTTTAGCTCAAGTGCAGCAGTCCCCTGGCTTGGCATGCAACAGGAGTATGGGTCACCCTACAGCCTGTTCAGCTGCCAGAGCCCTTTGTGTAC